CTGATACACCTCTAAGCCATCGAATTTGAAGGATTTATTGCAAAAGTCCACACATTCCGAACGCGGCATGCAGCGCTCAATCAAAGCGATAGAAGCGCCTGCATGCTCCTTGTAGATAACGCCCGCTTTCTGCGGCTTCTCGATTGTCTTCATGAAGCCGCTCTTAAACGATTGGTAGATATTTTGCAGCAGCGTTGGCTCAAGCGTCAAACCTTTGCCGAATGCAATATCGATTAACGGATAAACGAGCTCTTTCTTATGCATGTGCGTCGGCAACAGCTGCACGAATTCGTCGTCTAACTGCGCATCGCGCTCGAGCAGCAAACAGGCGAGCTTGATCGAAGACTTGGCAATGCGTCGTTCGACAAAGAAGGCGCCAAAAAATTTCGCACCCAATTGCGGTATATAYTGATGCGCGATACTTAGAAAATCGTATAGCGCTTCCTCCAGCTGTTCGTAGCCCATTTCRGCACCAAAACGCTTTACTAAATTCACATAAAGCTTAGTGAACTTCGGTACAAAATCGCATTTCACTGCCTGCTTCAACGCGGCCAAGCGCTGCAATGCGCACACCAACAACTCATAGTAGACGCTCTTCTGCGTGGTCTCCGCGAGCACAAAGTCACCGCATTTCAGCTTTGTCACTAACAATTCGAGCACTTCAATGCATTCACCAGCGCACAGCTGTAAGGCGCGCACCAAACGCACCGCATCCTGCAGCTGTTCGCTAGCCGCCTTTGTTTGCTCCACCGACTGTATGGAGATGGCAATCGCTTTCACCACTTTTAGGCGACAATTCACCGCATGCGTAACAAAGTAAGGGTGGTGATTGCAACGCTCCGTAAGCAAACGCAAGAAATAGAGATAACTCAGTTGCGTTTCGTTGCTGGCGCTGATCAGCTCGGTGCTTTGTATGCGCGTTAAACGTAAATTGAAGATGTATTTAAACAAATTATCGACGAAATTGTAGTCGTGCTCACCAATCGCTTGCTCTGTAGGTGTCAGCGCGCATAGCACATTAACACAATCGCCTAGAAATTCGGCTGCTGCCTCGGCTTGGCTGCGCGTCAGCCGTTGCTTCTCCACCAATTGTGCAACCACGAAGAGCGCTTGTTGCACGTAGATCATGAGTAGGCGTTCACTTTTCAGCTCAGCGCTRAGCGCGACTGTTTCGCCGCGTAGTGTCACTTCAAGCGCTGCCGCCTCCGTCTTCGACTTGGCGAAAATTTTAGCAAATTTGACGTCACCGMGCACTAACGCGTCGTGCAGTTGTGCCAAAACGCGCAATTCTGCGGGCAATTTAGCGCTTTTTAGCGATAATTCTTTAGCGCTAGCGGCTAACCAACTGCGCATATAGTTGTCGAGCGTGTTAAAATGTTGCTTATACAATTCGAATACTTGCTCTGGATTCGGATAGTAGTGGTAGAGTAGTAGGCATACAGTTTCTAGGTATTTATCTAGTGGCGTGATTATTTCAACACCCTTAAAAATGAGCGGCAACAGCTTGCTTATCGAAACGCTCTCCACATACGCTTGCACCGAGAGTCCGCTTTCGATGTGCTCGAAGAGTTTTTTCAAATTTTGCTCATTCAGTATGTTTTCGGTCGTTTTCGGCATCTCAACATCCACACGTGTGACCTGTGTGTAAATAAAGCATTGTAATTTTATAATATACTATACTTATAARAAATYGGMTATAACCGCAAAAGCGGTRTCTACRCCAATRAAGTARAATACTTTACGCACCTGCARCGCTTCAATGAACACCTGAGTCACCACATCGACGGTGTCGGCATCGAAGAAACGTAACGCTTCCAGCCACAAATCGATCTCCCAAACGCCAGAATCGAAAAGTCCGGTATTYAAAAATATTGTGTGCAACAGCTGACCCGCTTCAACACGCACCTCCTCGCTGCCATACATGAAAGCTTTAATGAAGGACTTCAAAACGCTGCTAAATAGCTGTTCGGTGGGGTCTAGTGCTTTCGGCAACAACAATAGGATGGTTTTGATAGCTTTCAATTCCAATTTAATGTTGCCTGTTGCGGTGCTAGCATCACCCSCCTCATCGCCGGCATACAACGGACGCAACAGATTCAAATAATCCAAAATGGTGCTGGTTTTATTCACAAAAGAACGATGCTCCTTACAAATAATCAACAATAGATCTAGCGACACATCTAAATGGTCCAAYACGGTCACCTCCTCGGCTTCCTGATCTTTTATAGACATATACAGCGAGAAGAGTATCTCCTCGACCGTGGGATARTTCACCAAAATATGATTTAATATGTCCAAACGAAAGCGACGCAGCGAATTCACATTGTCACGCGCCTCTTCACGTTTTGTTATTGCCGCCATATAAGCTGAATATTGCGCAAACATGGCATACAACAACTTGTTGGCGGCCAAACGAAAGCCGAAATTTTTATGACGCACCATTTTTGCGCCCGTCAACAAAGCCAACGTTTCGATGGGCAAGCACACATCCTTGATGAAATAGGTGCAGTCGGTTAGTGTAATTTTATCCAATGCAGCGCGTAGCAATTGCGGTTGCAATGTSGMTATTATTTTCGTGAGAAATTCACAAGCGGCAATCCAATCGCGCTGTGCCGTGCGCAACGGATTKATAATRCCAGCAAAATTGCGTACCGTGTGACGTGCGAGRTCCGGACAAGTGGCGAGTATGCGTATAACCAGCTCTGTTTTGCGTTCATTACACCAKGGTTTATAGAGTTGGCCGATAATTTTACCTGCATTGTATAAAGAAAAAAAAGTTAGGTTATAAATTCCACATAAAGAAAWAAKAAAATTATCTCACCCTGTATGGCGTTGTGTTTTTGTCGATAATTTGTTAYCGCATCAAAGCAGATRCCATGCTTACGTGAAGTCATTAGCAGTAACAGGAATTCATGTGTCACTTTCGCCACAGCATCACGCTCMTCCGCATTCACCAACGGCACGATTTGATCCATAGGCAGCTGTGTGTGTGGCCCTTGCCTACCCGCACACTTGGCGGCRTACACTTTGGGTCCGAGCCAATCGTAGAGACGCGCAAAGTGTCTGCAGCATTCTGCGTCGAAGACATGTATTTTCTTGGTTTTCGATATTTCATTGCATTCCAAAACATATTTACGCAAAGTGCTAACRACGACACAAACCGTTACATGATCATCATATTGCAAGCCAGAGGCGAGTGCACGTATCAGTGCGCCACGATCCAGTATATTACGTATAAGCAGTGTGTTACCGTCGATTAGGTAGGCGAGCACAAAATGTATAAAGCATTTACGTACTGTCTCAGTTTCTTTCAATTCTTGCGGTGAATGTGAAAGCATATTTTCGATTGTCTTTACATTGGACAGTATGTCGTAYGAAGCGAGCAATTGACGTCCTAATTGTGGATCGACACAYACAATGGCGGTGAGTAATTTAAGCGCGGTGCGTCGATGCTGCAATTGTGCAGATTTGAGCAGTTGATCGATCACATTACCATGTGATTTGAGGAAATAACGTGAGGCGTATACCGCCGACTCCATGTGCTCTTTCTGATTCGATACAATTTCCATTAAAACTAGTTGCAACGCTTGACAAAGATAGCCGATGTGTAGTGTATTCGTTTTGTCCACACGCTCAAGCGCTTCGGCCAGTTCGAGCGGTTTACCACGCTTCTCTATATATTTGGCKACTAGTTTGGGGCGTGACTGTATAATATGCAGAAAGTGTCGGAGCTCTAAGCAAATAAATATAAAAAACGAAGTCATAATGTGAAGTTTAATAAAAAATAATATTTTACCTGTTATAAAATTATTGCTTCGCAACTTTGTACGAAAATTTAGCATTTTGAAATCTTTTGAAAACTTCAACGCTTTCTCTTCATAGCCAGAATCGTGTTCCTGCATTTCTTCTTCTTCCTCCTCTTGTACATCTTCGGCAAGATCAGCCTTACCGTTTACTGTTTTTTCACCCTCACCTGCTTCCTGCTCTCCAGCAGGATTCTTGACTTTCTTCTTTTTTAGCTGATTTCCATAATCTTTGGCTTGTTTTACTTTCTTGGCGATCTTCTTCGGTACTGCAACTTCTCCATCATCCGGCAAGTCTTCCCCATCATTTTGCGCATTCTGATGTTTTCGTTTTCTTTTATTCTTTGCCTCAATAGCCATTTTCTGTAAGTTTATAATAACACATTAAATTCTCGTATATTTATGAATTCTAACATTATTTTAAATTTACAGTTTCCAGATATTTTTTATTGGGTAAAAAGTGTGCAGCTAACTTTGCACGTGTGTTCTTATTTGACGTCTACTCTTGATTGTCTTCTTCTTAGTTTTTGTTTTCTTTCAATTTACGCTTTTTCTATACACAGCTGATTTTGATAGCAATTGGCGTCATTTAGAGTCTCGAAATTTTTTGTTTGAACTTAACCTTTACCGGAGTCCTAAAAATTAGCACCAACCGAATTAATTAATTGATTACACAGGGAGAACGTCAGAAGCCATTTAAATAATTTTCCAATAAGATCCCATAACCCATATTTTCCGTTAAGACTTTCATTAAAAACATTTTCTWTGAATCATTCTTGCTGCCAACCACTTGAAACCGAGAAATCGGAGTGATACTCGTCTAACTTCGTTCCGAATATTAAACAATAGTATAACATCTATAATCTATCCAGAATAGACGCTAACATACAAAACATACATATGTCCTGCCTGCTCACCGTTAAGAGGCTTCGTCGGCAGTTAATTTTTTACTTTCTCTTAAACGGGGTATAGCCATTAACTAAAGCAAGAACAATCACGCTTATTTAATTATTAATAAACAAATCCGCAATTAAGTAGACGTTGTACTGAATTCTAATAATTGACTAKTAGTCTTCACACTTGGACAGCCGTTATTTCTACGTTTATTACGTATATTTTATAAAATCAAATCATATACATACAAATATTCTTTATTAGGTAACAATTTTTATTTTAACATATATACATACGTATGACTACAACAGTATAAATCTGTACAACTATCAGTCGTCTGAATAAATTATTATTATTATAAATTTAAAACTCATTAGAATCATCCACCGGTCAGGCCCGCCATGTAGATATTCAGGACATCTGGATTTGCATGTACAAATTTTCTCCTCTTAGGTATAGGCTGTATGTGTGGTAAGCGTGTGCCATTTACAGCATTTGGACTTGGCTCATAATCGTCATCATCATCCTCCGCGTCGGTCGTGTCATCACCTACGACATGCACAGTTCCATGTCGGCGTCGTGCCGTTTCCACTTTTTTACGTTTCAGCTTCGCTGCAGCTGCAGCACTTGTGGATGGACCCTCGTCAATTGTTGATTGYGAGCTACTTAGTTGCTTTTCACTGACTGCTGTAGTAGTCGTTGTTGTAGTGGTTGAACCTTTCTTTGCCGCATGCAGCGCCCGTTGTTGTCGACTAGTAATGGTATCATCTTGATCCGTAACTGAGGAGGACAACTCCAAGGATCTTTGTTGTTGCGCTCGTTTCAGTTCTAGAGCACGTCTAATTTTTTCTGAATATATATGTTTTAATTGTTCGACACATTGTTTACAAACCGGGTCTTCACCGCGAAAATCAATCCGTCGTTTACGAATAAATTCAATGAGTTTTGGATCCTTAATTGTTGTATGCGGCTGACGTAGCAGATGGTTATCATGTGCTAACCCACATTTTACTCCCCGTATACGCACCATTTGTATTTAACACGAAACATTTAAAATATATACACTTCGTAATTTCAAAATATGTTTTTGATGTAATTTAATAGAGATGTGTTCAATCGTATATCGATAGCAGAGAAATAAATGCWCTCAGTGCTGTCAATTTATAGTTTTTTTCTGATGGATTTTGTAAGTTTCACAATATTACGCAAATGAATATTCAAATATGTTCTCTGAAAATTTTACTTTTCGAGTTATTAAATAATTGAATGATTGCAGCAGAGGCAAGCGTTCGGTTCAGGATAGTGTCAAACTTCAAATTGTACAATTAATTTTGGATAAATGTCCAAGGATTAGGGATGGTTACCGARAGGAGCATTGGTGGAACTGGATCAGTATCAACAGCGACTACTTTTAAAATTTTGTGACAAGTCTAAATATTTAATTTCATTTAATGATGCTTTATTTTTACTTTTATAAAATAAAAAAAWTTTCTAGCAAAAACAAATTTAAACTTGTATTTTTTCACGTCTCCGACTACATATCATCACGACCGGAGAAGTAGTCGTCAACTTTCAAACGCAGCTGTCCATAAAGAGGGTTTCAATATTGATTCCACGACAGCCGAATTTACGTTACCAAAACGGTCAAAGATTGTCAACTCGGTAGAATTCTGCCGATACAACAACAAGTTCTCAGTATATACTTTAATCCTGATGTACTGTAGAACTAAATTATATGGGATGCTATAATCGGAATTCGACACAATTTCGAAGATTGTAGAGATTAGCAACTTGATGCGTGTGAATACACTCATTTGACTGAGCCTTAAAACAAGAAAAAAGCTAACTTCGGTTGCAACGAAGCTAAATACCATTCCAAGRTGCATATATGTTATTAACCATGTGTTCAGTTTGTATGGAAGCTATGTGCTATAGTAATCCGATCTGAACAATTTTTTCGGATATTATATTGTTACCTTATGCAGTAATCYATACCAAACTTCRTGAAGATACCACGTCAAATGTGAAAGTTTTCCATATAAGAACTTGATTCCGATCATTCAGTTTGTATGGCAGCTATATGTTATAGTTAACCGATCTGAACAATTTCTTCGGAGATTACATTGTTGCCTTAGAAAATAATCTACAGCAAATTTCGTGAAAATATCTTGGCAAATGTAAGTTTTACATACAAGAACTTGATTCCGATCGTTCAGTTTGTATGACAGCTATATGTTACAGTGGTCCGATAWCGGCAGTTCTGACAAATGATCATCTTTTTAAAGAGAAAATGACGTYTACTAAATTTYAAAACGAYATCTTAAAAACTGAGGGACTAGTTCGTATATATACAGACAGASAGGCAGACWGACGGACATGGCTAAATCGACTCAGCTCAACACACTGATCATTATATATACTTTATAGGGTCTCCGACGCTTCCTTCTGGGTGCTACAAACTTCGTGACAAACTTAATATACCCTGTTCAGGGTATAAAYATTATATTTATGTAAGTTATTAAAACTGAAGTACTTATAGGAATTCAAGTGTTGTTAAAAATCGTTTTTAACAGACGTTCTGGCTACAGACATAATTTAACACACTCTTCGCCGCTCTTAAGGCTCTAATTTAGCCTATGAATGAATGAATAATGATGAGGAATGCACTGCGACCTTTGGTCTATTGTGCYCTCTCCTTACTCACATTGAGTCGCCTATACCCAGCCCATTAATGAAGTCAAGTAGAATACCTGGCGCTRGCGMGGCAATGCGATCCCTATCCGGAAACAACACTCCWAGAGCCTAATTTAGACTATACGCTGGGAAAAGATCTCTACATCTCTTTGTTTTGGTAAAAATAYAAAATTCTAAATGTCTAATAAAAAATCTTATTAGGTTATGTGGTTGAACATTACAGATCTAATCTATACTATACTATCTAAAAGCAAAATCCACGCTTAATCGTAGGATGCAATTAAAGGCAGTAGTTTCTTGCTTTCATTTTTTCTTTTTAATTTGTGTTCTTTTTGTTTTTTCTTGTTATGTTTTGTTTTTCTTTTTCAATAAGATAATATCATGTTCATTTGCATTTTTATGTCCATGTTCATGTTGGTTGTTCTTGTTTTTGTTGTAGATATTTGTTATCCTTTGCTTTGTTAATAGTTGCTTTTGTTTTGTTTTGTATTTATCAATATTTCTCATCGGTTGGTTTGTATCTGCTCTGAGAGTTGCCGTTTGACTAGCAAGCTGATAATCACCGCCTCCTWCCTTTCAAGATCTTGCTTACTGCCAACACGAGCACCCTTTGCTTGCTGTTTTCAAATATTTTGCAAATAGTTGTAGTTGTTGTTGCGGTTGTTTTAGTTGCAGTGTCTGTTGAGGATGTATCAATAACTTAAATAATAATCTCAATCTCAAACTTTACGTCGCATCAAGTGGCCAACGACGCCCACAGATGCAGGATGTTGTCAGGCATCGCCGGCGCCGCCCACTGGCACGCCAACAACACCACCGCTGCCCGGTGCACCCGACCCACCTTTGGGCGTGTACACAGACGCATTTGGGTCGAGGCTGGAACCGCTGTTGATGCTAGCGCCCGGCGAAGACGCCGATACAAACACCGGCGTGCCCACCGTTACGGGCACTTGCTGTTGCTGCTGCTGTTGTTGTTGTTGTTGCTGATGCTGTTGATGTTGCTGCTGCTGCTGCTGGTGTTGCTGCTGTTGCTGGTGTTGTTGGTGCTGGTGTTGTTGATGCTGTTGGAGCTGTTGATGCTGATGATGTTGCTGCTGCTGTTGATGCAGTTGTTGTTGCTGCTGCTGATGCTGTTGCTGTTGCTGCTGTTGATGGAGTTGTTGTTGATGATGCTGCTGTTGTTGATGCTGGTGTGGATGCTGCAATTGGTGTTGATGCTGGTGCTGATGTTGATGTTGCGCCGTTACATAATTGGGCGGCGACTGCTGCCCACCATAATCGGCAACGGAATTCGGTGGACCAACGCGTGCCGATAATGGATGTCCAACCACTGCTGCTGCCGCCGCCGCTGCAGCTGCAGCCTGTTGGGCCGCTGCTGCCGCGCTTAGGCTGCTCAACATGGGTGAAGCTGGTCCGGGACCGGATTGCAACGGTGGCGTATCATTCATGCGCAACATTGAACTGGTGCCAGCTGAGCCACAGGCGGGCAAAAGTTGATCTGTCGGCATAACGCAAAGTAATTGCGCGATTTTCGCCTTCAAATCCAGCACTTCATCCTCCTTGGCAATACGACGAGCTGTGAAATATTTCAAGAAATCGTMAGTGTGTAAGTTGTGGTGTAAGCTATTTTTCGGWGCGTGTGTGTGTTACTCACTTTCCGATATCTCCAGTTGGCGCTTGGCGTCACCTAGAGCTGAGAATAAGTCCAGCTTAACTCTCGTCTCGGCTGAAAGATTCTTTTCGAGTGTACAGTTTTTATCCTGCATCGCGGCCAACGCATTCATCAGCATCTCGGTGCCCGGTTGCACCGAATCACGATTACGTACCTCAGCCTCGAACATGCGCAACTGTAAAGCATACATATTAAGTATTGTGCACTGCGTACAATTAAGTCAACGCAATCACTACTCACCTCCTGCTCCCATTTGCGTCCATGTTGTTCCGCCAACTGTTTGGCTTCCTCCGTCGTTTTCAGTTCGCGTCGCAGCTGCTTGAGATCTTCATCCATAAGCTGCTTACGCTGCTTACACTGCGCACTGCATTCCGGCCGTGCGGCCTTTTCTTCGGCAATTTTACGGGCTTTCTTCTCATTATTCAATTGTGCGTCCAATGATTGCTTTTGGCGGCGCTCCTCTGCCAAACGTCGCTCGATCGTCTGCAGTTGCAGCATATCTGCATGCCGCCCATTCGTTAGCTCCTGTATGCGTTTCTCCAGCTCGTCACACTCTTTCTGTTTGGCCTGCAAACAGGATTTCGTAGTCAAATTTGACTCGAGCTTCTGACGCAGTTCATTCTCGATTTGCTTCATGTGACTCAGCTCGGCGCGGTACTTTTTAACATCCGCCTCAAGTTTGAGACAGGCTTCACAGACTTTAGAGACCATTTTCGTGGCTATTTGCGAGATGGCTGACGAAACCGAAGCCGATGTTACGGACGACGCTGACGATGATGATGCCGAACTGGCCGACGAGGTGGATGAGGACACCGAGGAAGCATCCGAATTGTTGCTATTGCTAGCGCTATTATGATTTTGAGTGTTAGCKGCGGCATCTTTACCATTGCCACCGCTATTGGTGCTGCTATTCTGTTGCTGGTGGTTGTGCGAGTGTGTGTTGGAGTTGTTCGCATTGCTGTTGCTATTATGCGAAGTGTTTTGATGATTGTCCTTGGAAGCATTATCTTTGCGCGCACGATTACGACGACCTGAAAAACAGTTGAATTGAAATTATGCGCATTTCGTCAAACAATTTCACTCAACTAACCTTTAGTTCGCTCGACTGGCTCCACAGCAACAACATCATCGGCATCGAATTGCAAAACATTACCATTCGCCACCGGCGCCGTCGCACCGGAAACGCTTGGTGTATTAGATTTTTTCGCCGTTCGATGCTCATCTGTGTGAGTTAAAAGAGAAAGGCATTAGTTTTATCTATTCAAGCACTCAGTTAGGCAGCTCACCACTTTTATCTTTCGTTTGTTGCTGCGCTGTAGTATGCACATGACTGTTATTATTAGTTGACACCTCACAATCGCCGCGATCTTTCATTGCGTTGTTGCTGCTGTTTTGGTTACCGTCGGCAGCATGAAAATTAGAATTGTTGCTGTTTTTATTATGTTTGGTATCGGCATCAGCCCCAGCGCCACCGCCGCCGCCTTTGTTTCTATTCTCCTTATCCGCGCCGCGACGGTGGCCTTTGCCACCAATGTGACCATTGGATGTTGCTGCAATGTAGGGAAAAGAAATTTCGAATTTAAAAATGTGCTCCTAAAACACTATAAATAAAGAAAATAATAGAGAGGCATGAAATGTGATGTAAACGAAAGTCAGCTGATTTCATAAATACAATATAAGCAACAAAGAAAGGAAATAAAAATTAATAAATAAGAAAGTCTAAATAATAAAT